GCTGCAAAGATATCTGTTAAGGCCCCAGCTATTTCCTCTCTCGCTTGCCTCATTAACCTGGGATAGATCCCATCCGGACCTGGGGACTTGTCCACCCTAATGCCTTTTAGAATACCTAACACTTCCCCCCTCCTTATGCCGATTTGACCTAGAGTAATCAAACATCTATCCCTAACCTTAACATCCGTCATGTCCCTCTCCTCAGTGAATGCTGATGTAAAATACTCATTAAGAATCTCACTCATTTTCTCTGACTCCTCGCATAACTTCCCTCCTTTGTCCTTGAGTGGGCCAACCCTTTCTCTAGTTACCCTCTTGCTCCTTATGTATGAATACAAGGCTTTGGGATTTTCCTTAACCCTGTTTGCTAAAGATATTTCATGACCCCTTTTAGCCCTCTTAATTCCTCGTTTCAGATTGGTCCTACTTTCCCGATAATCTTCCAAAGCTTTGTCTGTTTTCAATTGCCTAGACCTTACGTATGCTTCCTTTTTTCTCTTTGCTAGTCTCACAATTTCACCTGTCATCCATGGTTCCCTAATCTTGCCCTTTCTATCCCTCATTTTCACAGGGACATGTCTGTCCTGCACTCTAATCAACCTCTCTTTAAAAGCCTCCCACACATCAAATGTGGATTTACCCTCAAACAGCTGTTCCCAATCCACATTCTCCAGCTCTTGCCGAATTTTGCTATAGTTGGCCTTCCCCCAGTTTAGCACTCTTCCTTTAGGACCACTCTCGTCTTTGTCCATGATGATTCTAAAACTTACGGAATTGTGTTCACTATTCCCAAAGTAATCCCCCACTGAAACTTCAACCACCTGGCCAGGCTCATTCCCCAACACCAGGTCCAGTATGGCCCCTTCCCGAGTTGGGCTATTTACATAGCCACTGCCCAAATATATCAGTTCACTCACCTTCCCAGAGTGCAATTCGACCACTCCCACTCATCTCCGCTGCTGAAATGAAGAACTTACCTTCTCGGCAGCCCCCTGGTCCTCGTTCTCACTGCTCCTGCTGCTGCTGCAAAAATTTGTTTGTGTTCAGTGGTCTGTCCTGATACAATGTGAATGATTTTTTAATGTAATTTCTAATCTCCTTTCCCTTCATTCTCTCACAGTGAATTTACTGGCACTTGTGATTTTATTCATGGGAAAATGTGGAATCTCCGCTTGCACCATGGGAACAGCAGATCTACTGTATATTATCCTTGAGGTCATACTGTACCGGATTAATCATTATTATTTCCCTCTGAATTTCTTGGATATGACCATTGTCTGCAAAGTTTACTATGTGCCACGCTGTGCTGCCACCGATTGTTCTGTCTGGTTCACCATCACTTTTACCTTTGATTGATTTGATGCCATTTGTTGCCTGAAGTTGAAAACGAAATATTGCACCAAGAAAATTGCAACAGCAATTCTCACAACAACAGGCATTCTGCTCTATTTTAAAAACATTCCCACTTACTTCCGATATGAAACTTTGAGAATCATTAACAATGTCGAGTGGTTCTGCGCTAACAGTGAAGCATAATGTGAAGATCCCATATGGATAGGATTCAAGAGGTTTGAAAAGGTCGTAACTCCAATGCTCCCATTTGCTTTAATTCTTTTGATCAACACTCTGACAGTCAGGCACATTTTAGTGGCCAGTCGGGCCCATAAGAGACTGAGAGCTCAAACCAAGGGGCAGAACTCTTGTGACCCAAGATGGAGAGCAGAAGAAAGTCTATCATTTTACTCTTCACAATGTCCAGTGGTTTCATCCTTCTATGGTTGTGTTACCTTTTGAAATATCTTAGTACTTTCGATATATTGTTCGATAAAAGTTCTGAATTTATATTCCAACATGTCGCAAATATGCCTGGGGTATAAACTGTTGCACAAACACTTTTATTTATGTAACAACACTCTCCAAGTTCAGAGAAATATTCACAAACACATTGATGTTTCCTTTTCAGCAAACTATTCATTACATCAAGAAAACAAATGTTAATGCCACATCACGTGAAGGGTAATGGACAATAGTGATTGCTGGATGAATGAAGGAAAAGGAAGGTTCTGTAGCCGCAAATCTGTCTAATATTAGCATTGACGAAAATGGTACTCAGAGCATTAATATAAGAATGTCATTAAACAGCACATTTAAGACACACCAGACTCTACTGTATCAAGAACAATGGATGGGCATAAATAACTAGGGAAAGACCAGTGTCCTCTGGAGCAAAAAATGAGTCAGAATTCTGACCCCTGTCTGTCTGGAACTGGACATGGGCCCCATGCCCCGGACCCTGTCCTGTGACACGGTGTTTCACAATCTGAGCCGTCTGAGGGAAATCCTTTCGAACAGTATAGAGGCATTATCTGTACGTGCTGCTGATGCTGCACATTCTCCACTGCTGCACCTTCGCCCGCTGCCTGGACATGACTTGGTGCGACGTTTTGCTCTCCGTGGGCAGAGAACCCAATCAGAGGGTCATCTATAAAGGGGTCCTCGCCTCTTACATCGGGGACCTGTTGCGGAGCGTGCTGCATGCAGCTGTCCCGCAGGGTAAGTGAGTTCACAGGCTGACAGACCATATGCACGTTTTGTGGCCTGGAGCAGAGGGTTTTCCATGTGTATGTCGAGATTGTCCATTTGCAACCTCATTTTAGTTTGTTTGAAGGGATTGCTGTTAAAATTTTGTTTGCATTTCAGTCCCACACTCCTGATCTACAGACACCGGGTGCATGGAGGGGCAGAAAAGTCTCTGGGCCTTCTCATGACCCTGCTCCTGGGCCTGGCCAAGATGACCATTAACAGGTCCAGGCAGCAGGCTGAGGAGGGGCTTGTCATTCCTGACTGTCTACCCCTCTTTCACAGTTATGTCTGCACTGGAGTGTTCCTGGAGAGGCAGTGCGTAGTCATCACTATCATGGTCAAGGCCTTTCAAGACTGGTGGGCACTGCGGAAGCTGGAGTACATCGTCAGCCTGGAAAATGGTAATTTCACTTAGGAAGTGTATTTTCTGTTGCATGAATTTCCATTCACCGTTTTGAATTTGTGTTTGCTTTTGATGTGGTGCCCCAGCAGGGGCTGTCTTGTTTTTTTTTCCCTTTATTGTTTTCGACTTTCTGAAAGAAACAAGGGATTTATTTTAATGCCCTGTTGCCACTGTCCTAAACGTGTTTGTTGGGGTTGGGTAAG